GGCAGAAGCGCTTTACCGGAGGAAGCCGCCGGCCTGGACGTGGTGCCCGGGGCCTCTGGATGTGTTACAGACCCCCAACTCCTGCCCCACCCCATGGCCTTTACGACCTCCTGAGGGCTTGCTCTGAAAAGGCTTCAGAATAGCTCGGGGTGTTTCTCCCCCCCCCCCAGTTTTTCCACAGCCTCTCACCTGTTCACAATAGAAAAAAGCTTTTGTTTCAAAAGGGGCTCTCCCAAATAAACAGCATCTCAGTTGGGTTGCCCCAGCCCCTGAGGCAAAGTGGGGTTCTGGGCAAAACTGACAGGCTGAGCAGCGGAGAGGTGGGGGTGTTGGGGGGGACTGGTGGCCAGCCCTTCCTGGTGGAACCTCTCCCCCCCCCCTTAGTCTGAGTTCAGAAGAAAGACAACCATTCAGGCCAAGCCACCTTCCTCGATGGTTTATTTTGCCAAGGTTGGAGCAGGGGCTGCTTTTCTCTTCCGTGCTCCAGTTCCGCAAGAGGTGAGACTGGGCGGCGTTAGGTTTTCTGCAGCGCCTTCCTCTCCATTGCTCTAAAAAGAACCACGCGGGGAGGAGAGAGTGAGGAGGGCAGAGCCCCCTTGACTGCACCTACATACATACACACCTGCTAAATGGGCCACAAATGCCAACGGCCTGGCTTGGCTGCAGCCCATGGGTCTGAGCCGGCCGGCAGATGGACAGACAGGCGGAGACACTCACTCTGCCTCTTCCTTGGAGATGCTCCGGCCCGAGTCCAGGACCTCAGCCACCAGGGAGACCATGGGGTCGACATTCAGGCCAGCCACTGCCGTCACAAAGCCATCCCTGGGCAAGGAAGAGAGGGAGGCAGAGATGTGGCAGCACATTGTGGTAACGTGGGCCTTTGGAGATGGGCCTCCTTGCCCAGCCAAGCCAGGCCAGCCGTGGCTCTCCAGGGTCCCAGGCCAGAGGGGGGGAGGCTGGCCACTTCTTGCAACTTGATCCCTTGTCCTGGAGATGCCAGGGATAGAATCGGGGCCCTCCTGCTCTGCCTCTGTGCTGCATTCCTCCCCAGCACCCTAAGTTTCCAGTCCTCATGGTTCTAAATAAGTAGCTGATCCAAAGAAGAAAATTAGAAGTGGCCATTTAACCACCCGGCCAGGGGCCCACCCGTGTCCCCTCTGGCTGCCTGCGGGGGCTTGCCATGGGCAAAGAGAGAGCAAAGCCCCCCCCCCATCCCTTCCCCTGGGACTTGATTCTTCTGCCTGGAAATGGGAACAGGAGCCCTCCCTCGCACTGGCCGAGCAGAAGAGAGGGCACCTTGTTCTCCCCTGGCATCTGCTGTGGAGCCCCACCGGTCGAGCCGTCCCTTTCAGCAGAGGGAGAAGGCTGGCCCGGCACCTCTGCCTTCCCTGGCCGTACCTGCGCTGCCCACAGGTGAGCTGGTTCTGGACTCGGAGGTTTTATTTCTGTTTTGGTTCTGGGGGAATCTTGACTGTTAGATATGAAAATGGATGCGTTCTCATGGGTGGCTAGAAAGAGGCGAATGCATCGGTTGTTATGAATGGGGTTGGGGGGTGGGGGCAAAGGCAGAAATGTAATTCCCTGAACTAATCTAATTGGATAATTAAGCAGATTTTTGAGGAACAATGGGATTTAGTGCCATCTTTGGAAGTCCCTGCCTGGCAGAACCTTTCCTGGTTGGCTCCTTCCTGGCTTCTGCCCTCTTCTTCGTCTCTGGGGGGGTTTGTCCAACAGCCCATCTGGAGAGGGGGGGTCCCGGCCCATGAGGTTTGGCACACAACCTGTTGGGCTGAGTTTTGTTGCTGCTTGGGCAGGGCTCTCTCGCTCTCTCTCCCCCCCTCCACCCCACCCCCAACGGAGGCCCGGGGCAAATCAAGGGCAGGGGATCGGAAACCTTTGAGTGCTTTTGCACACGTCAAATGAAACTCTGCCTCCTGCACTGGCTAAGCCAAGGAAGATCACCAGGCTAGCAAGCTCCCGATCTTCCGGATTTCCTCTCTGCACTCGGGCAAAACGGTCCCTGTGGACAGCCTGTTTTTGGTGCGTGCGGCGGCTCATAGGCACAGAGGACGCATTCATTCCTTGGGCTTTTCTTGGCAGGCAAAGGGCAAAAGGCTGCCCCAAACGGGGCTGAGCCACAAGCGGCCGGCTGCCTTAAAAGGAGCCCTTCCGGGGACCGGTCAGCAGCCTGCTGTGCAAAGGGGCCACCACCAGGGGGTGCTCCAGGACCGGGACTTGGGTCTCCCAGGCAGCGGGAAAAGAGCCTCTCCACCCAGTTTGCCGTTCCCTCAACCTCTGCAGGTGTGGATTATTTCCCTGCTGGGGAAGCAGAATGCGGGAGGGAGGACGCGTGGAGGCCTCTGGCCTGACCCAGGACGGTGCCTCCTCTGGCACTGCAGTGAGCCAAGCACAGCCAGCCAGCCAGCCTTCCTTCCTCTTGGGCAGCATGTGGGGTGGGTGGAGAGCAGGAAAAAAAGGGCCTGAGGGGCAGGATCAGCCCTACTCCTCCCTCCTTGACGCAGCTTGGTGCCAGGGCAGAATCAGCCCCCCCCTTCTTCCACCTCTGTTCCCCTGCCCAGTGCATCCCCCCCAGGAAGGGAAACAGCTCCTCTGTGGGGGCCAAGAGGCTGTCGTCTCCCCCCCCCGAGGGGCTGACTCCTTTGCCCACCTGATGTAGAAGAGGAGAAAGGTCTCCTGCTCCAGGCTGCCCTTCAGGACGGTGTCTGTGTAGCCCCTCCCGCAGCCTGAGGAGACCAAAAGGGGTGGGGGAGGCAACTCAGGTGGCTGATCCAGAGGAGCCAGGGGGAGGAGGCTCAGAGATTTCGGGTGGAGGGGTGTCGGGTCCCGGAGATTCCTCTTCCCGGAGAGCCCCTTCCAATGCCACTGGGGGTGGCCAACGGGCACTCTGCCTCCTTCCCGGGGTCCCTATCTTCTGCTTGCTGTCAGCTAGGGAATCCGCCTGGGTGGGCGTGCTTGGGAGCAGCTGGAAAGGGGAGGGGCCTGCTTGCCACCTTGCAGGAGAGGCGTGAGGGGGGGTGGCGGCCTCTTCTAGCCCTTGCCCCGCCCATCTCACCTGCATATCGGATGGTCTTTGCTTGCAGGCGGGTCCAAAAGAACGGCACGGTGTGGAGGGCCTTCTGCCGCCCAAGGATGTTGAAGGCAGCCACGTGACCTGCCAAGGGGAAGAGATCCGAGGGCCGGTAAGTAAAACCAGGGCTGCCCGTACAGGGTGTGTGTGTGTGTTTTCTGCCGTACTTTTGAGAGCAAGGGTAGGCCGGTGTGTGTGTGTGTGTGTGTGTTTTCTGCCGTACCTTTGAGAGCAAGGGTAGGCCCCTGTCACACTCTGGATGAAGGCCAAAGGGAAGCTCCTCCTCCCCCTCATTCCTGGATCTGTGGCCTGGGGAGGGTGACCCTTGCAGTCCAGCAAAACGCTCGTGGCCCACCCCCACCCCACCCCCTGCCATGGACGCCCTTCAACCAAGCCAGGGAGAAAGGGGTCTTTTCCTGCCAGCCCTGGGACCCTCCGTGCTTGCGTAGGGGGGGAGTGACTAACGGGAATGAATCCACCTACCCACCCACCCTTTCCCATCCGCTGCTTACCGTGGGCTTGGGCAATCTGCCAGTGACGGATGGGCGCGCATTCCCCGCCAAGGAGGGCCACCGGGAAGGAGGCCACGTCCCCAGCCGCAAAGACAGAGGGCAGGCTGGTCTGCATGAACTGGAGGAGTGGGGAGCCGAAGAGAGACCGGTCAGAAGTGGGGAGGGGGTCGAAGGCGGCGAGGGGAGGGACCCCCTTCCCTCGCTTCACCTACCAGGTCCACCAGGACAGCGCCGCTCCGGTCCAGGGCGATGGAGCTTCCTTGGAGGAAGGCTGTGTTCGGGACCACCCCTGCGAGGAGGGAGAGGAGGGGAGAAGAGGGGAAGGGACAGTGGCTGGGGGGGGGGGGCCCCCCTCC